GGGGGGGGGGGCATGTTACGTTGTGCGCGTGGTCTTCTTGGGCAGATGATTACTTGTAGTCTCTGCCTACGAGCAATCCGCCAAAGAGCCCTCTTTTTGGTGTAAAAGAACTTTTACTCAATAAATAGCATACTTAAAAATAGAAATCTGCCCAAAAAAAAGAGTTTGAATTCAAGGCAATTAACTTTTCTGAATTGCTTTACCATATGTTGCATGAGTTAAAATGAAGGTAGATGGATTAGCATGGACAAAGGGAAAGGGAAAATTATATCTACACACACGCTGACTCAGCATGTTGTTGGAGGAGGGGGTTTAAGACTTTTTAGTGCCAAGCAGGGCTGTCGTTTAGTGGTTTGTGTTTAGAACAATCATTTACTCCTCTCACATGGTCAAAACGTCCAGTATAAAAGTCATTCTCATCAGTTATGTCAGTTCTGTTCAAGAATTCTTAAGTGTTGTGGGGTTTACTATTGAGCCCTTCATCATGATAATGTCTACTTAGCATCTAGAGATTATCTACTTCTTTTGTTTGTCATTGGGACCATTGTTATTGAAGGGAGAATGAAGGAAATAGTCTACATATTTTTTATACACTGGCGTATCCATTGCTGTTGAAGGGAAAGTAAAAAACTGTCATCCTTTTGTTTTGTTTTGTTTGAATTATATGTTTTGTGAAACAGAAATGCTAAGATAGTTTTCAATTTTGCTCTTTTCTTCAGATTGTCTCTCAAGTTTCACAGATGTTGAAGAGTTGGAAGATTCTGAGTTGTATATGTGTAACAATTGCAAGAAAAGACAAAGATCAACAAAAAAATTTTGGATCCGCAGACTGCCAAATGTAAGAAAATGTATTCACATTTTTGTCCTTTTTATTTTTCTATTTTTGGTGTATACTTATTCATTGGTTATTCTTACTATTTCCCAATTTGAGTTTGCTATAACATACGTGTACAATCTTTAAAGAATTTGAAGAGATTTTACAGAAGCCATTTGAATTGGGGCTTGGGGTAGGGGGGTGTGCGTTATTACTATCGGCAATGATTTTCTTCTAAACTCGTTCGCCAGGACAGCAGTCTCATATCTCAGTGTTATTGGACTCACGATCCAGTCATATTTCGAACCCTGGATCTTCGATAGTGTCACTGTCTTCACTTTTTTTCATTCGTTATATTCTCTTTCCCCCCCCCCCCATCTTACTCATAATGTGGAAAAACTTCCAAATCTAAGTCAAAGAGTGAAATTGTCTGCCTTTTAAAAGTCATATTGGTGTTTAGTACATTGTAAGGGAACAAAGGGGTTATATTTTTTTTTATATAGTAGAGTGTTTTACTACACTCGCAACTGCATAAGGTCATATGAGCGCCAAGGGGCGGGTGTCAACAGAGAAGTCTTTACAGGGAATCAGACTTACTCTGCTCACCTCTCTAACGTCAACAGCACAAGGTGGGCTTCGACTATCAAGGCACCCCGGAAATAGCAGGTCAGAAGAGAGTGACAAACATACAAAAGAAGTAGAGGAAAAATGACAATAGTAAGGATTTGGAAAGAAAAAGCAGCAGCTCCCTGTTGAAGATCAGGCACAGTTATGAGCGTGACATGACGAATCAGCCCATTTACAATTCTACTGTGCTTGAACGAGAAATGTCCCGCCCTTTGGGAATGGCCTAAAGACATTACAGTCAGTGGCACTGCCCCGGGGGGTACAAAGGGGTTAAGTGAAAATGTCTAATAGTTAAAATGTTTTGCATGACTTTTTCTTTCATTTTTTTTTTCTTTTTGCCTTCAAGGTCCTTTGTCTACATTTGAAGAGGTTCAGATGGAGTATGTTCTGCCGATTAAAAGTGGAAACGTTTGTTGAATTTCCAATTCAGGGGCTGGACATGAACACATATGTTCTAAACAATTTGGTGAGTTGAGCATTTTTGTTTATCATATTAGTTAGTACATGTAGGTGTGTGAGTGATGTATTGTATAGTCCTTTTTTATGTTGTTGGAAGAGTATTTTTGTTTTCTTAAGTCAAGGTAGATTACATGTAAAAGTTCATGAGTTGTTGGTTTGTGGGTAACCTATGAGATGTGGTGTTTCTTTTTGGGTGTCGAATTTAATTTGCGAATTTGGTCAAAGTCGAAAGCAAGGCATTCTTGATTTAATTTGAAAGGGGAAACTTCCTTATTTTGTCAAACAGTTGTTGTTTGTTAGCTAAGGATTTGTAGCTTGCTTGGGCTTGTTTTTATTGTTTTAGTTATCTTTGAGATATATGACTTTTCTTTCTGGGTCTCAAATTTTAAATTTTTTTTGATTGGTCAAAGTCAAAGGCAAGGCGTTTTTTTATTTAATTTGAAAGGGGCTCTGGTTTGTTGTTTGAAGATGTGTGGCTAGCTTGGATTTATTATTTTGGTGGGTTTTTTCCTGTCGCTGTTATTCTGACATTTTCATAACAAATGTAGATAATGAGGTTGCTGTTATTGTGTTCAAACTCTGTGAACAGCCATCCAGCAGTTCAATTTCGTAGATTTGCCTGTGCTCATATTGATTGCTTTAGTTAAGGGTCCATGTAAACTTCCTTTTTTTTTCGTAATCTGTAAGTGATGATACGGAAAATTGAGCAGCAGAAAATATTAAAATATAACATTTGAGGTCTGCCCCTGTTGCATTTGATGGTATGTCATTGGAAGGTTGAGATTTTTAAACAGTAGTACTCATGGGTGGGTAGATCTCTTCCTTGTCCTCACAATTTGTTTTTTATCATTGTTTCTTCCTTCAGGAAGTTTTGATGTTTTGTCTTCAACTATACACACAACTCTACCTTTCTGAAAGGTGACGAGGGTGGTTGGCGGGTGCTCTGGTGTGGTTTGCTTCTTCTTTCCTATCAAACATCTATCGTCCTTACCTCCCCTTCTTCTTTTTTATGTTTGTTACTCTCTTGTAGCACCTTTAACTCATATGACCTTATGCTGTTGCGAGCGCCGTAACACCTCTACTAAAACTAAAATTGAAAGGTGACGTAGCTAGCTTGTTTTATGCTTGGCTGAGCGTTGCCTTTGAGATTGGTGTCTGTAGCAAAGCAGTGGCTTATTGCTGCAGCTCAGAGACTGACAGGAAACAAAATATATTAAATGTTACTTTTTTAAAATTAAATCAAAGGAATTGTTGTAAGCATTTTGTTTACTGGTTTGTTTGTTTTTTCCTCAGCATGAAACCAGAGGGAGCTTTTGTGGGAGCAATTTATATGATCTGGCTGCTGTCATAGTGCACCATGGCTCTGGGTAATTACTTTGTTGTCTTGACCGAGGCAACCTTTTCCTTTAAGTGTTTGGCAAAATGTACAGATAGACAAAATCATGATGGTGGGCGGTTTTTTGATGGGTTTTTTTCGTGGTCTATCAGCTTCATATGTTGTATGGGCCATTCCATAAAAAAGTAACTGTTGTGACTTGTGTAATGCTGACACAGTGTTATGCATTGATAGAGCCATTCTAGGATCTGCTGGAGTAATAATAGTTGTTATGTGCATGCTGGAAAACGTGGCGCTATACTACCATTTGAATTCAGTCATTAATTGGATAAGTTTGGGGTTGTTGTTTTTTTTTTGTTTTTTTTAATAAATATTATTATTAATATATGCAACCCTCCTCTAACAAGACAAAAGGAAAATAAACCCCAGCCTTATCATCACAGTTTTAAAATTTTTCAGCTTGTCATGCCCATATTATGTGTGCCACTGCACTTTCATTTTTTTCGTGGAATGGCCCATTTGTAGAATACATGCCCTAACCTGAAAAATAAAGGGTGTGTATGAAACTACTGTCAAGTAGTGAACTTTTACCCGCTGTTTGTCCGTTGTTGAAAGATTTTCCTTAAACGATCACTGTTGGAACTGCTTTTGTTACACTGTGGCTTTGAAAAGTAAACTTTTTATACAGTCGAACCTGTCTTAACGGAATCTCCCCGCTCCCCCCTTGATATATTCCTCTTTAATTACCTGTGTGAAACGGAAAAGGAAACCAAAATCCGCTCCCTTCCGAGGGTTTTACGGATCTGCCCGTTCAGCCCTGATTTGAAACAAAACTCGCAAGTTTGGTTCCCTCCGCCGACTCTAAAGTTAACGCCACGTCGCCAGGCGAGGAAGGGGATTACGGGTGCAATTTGAGGGTACATGTTACCCTGTCTATGTGAGCCCTGAACATTAAAGATGGTCAGGGTGGTGTGGGTGTAAAATCTCACAAGTGCCAGTGAAAGTGCTCAAGTTCTGCTCCAGAGTGGAAACTTTCATTGGTAGCCAGAGGGGGGAAATTAGTTTGACCAATGCCTGCTGCCCTGATTCTACAGCCAGCCGAGAAAAGAGTTCCTCGAATCGTTGTTACATGGCAGTGAGGGGTGGCATTGGTTGTATGTGCTTATTACATCGATGGGTGGGGCTAAGGGTGGAAGAAAAGAGGTTCTAACGTTTCTGTTTTTAATAGGTCAAAACAGCAGTCCTATGAAATACAAGCACTGGTGGTAATTGGATAAGTAAGACTGACACATGTCATTATCAGAGAGGATAGCAGCTGAGAGGTGTGAAGTTTTGACCACTTGTGATTGCTTGCCTACCAGACAAGTGACCCTTGACCCCTCTGGCTGGGCCTTTGAACCCCCATTCCCCCACTAAATTATCCTGTCTAAGACGAAATTTTTTTCTGGCTCCCTTGCGATTCTGTCTTACACAGGTTCAACTGTATTGTCCTTGCAGTACTAAACTTTTGATATTTGTTCATTCCACTTGTATCGGTGAATGAGGAAACACACAAAAGTGTTGTTGTTATGTGGATTTTATGGTTTGATATTTTTCATGTTCACTTTGTTAAAAGAGTGTTATCTGTTTCTCAATGCGGTCAATACACAGAGAAAGAATTGCACATATTGTAATGTAGTGAGGTAATGACTTTGTCAAAATGGGAAAGGAGGAGTAGCTTAATTGTTTTTTATCCAACGTGATGGTTTATAGACAAGCATTCTATTATCGGGGGGGGGGGGGGCTTATGATATTTGCGCTTTTAAGTTTCATGCATAATTGGCATTGTACATTAAGTTTGTCTTTAAATCATTCCCTTTTAAATCAAAGCAGGAGAAATCAAGTTTCGGTAAAGTTAAAGGGTAACTGTAAAACTTGAATGTCTGGCTTTGCATGTAAATTGTCATTTGATATCAATTTTCTCTTTCAGTGCTGGGTCCGGGCACTATACAGCGTATGCTACATATGAAGGTATGCTTGTTTTTGGGTTATTCTTGGTTTTTCAGGTTCACAAATTTTTCAATTCACACTTTTTTAGCGGAGGTTGAATGTGTTCTTAACTTTCCTTTACCTGTAAGTATTTTGTAATTTCTTTACTTAAGAGAGGCTTTGCCTTAGTGCAGATCCCAAATTTATTCTTTGTCTCACATGACAAAGTATGGCAGTAAAAATGAAATCCAATTTGTCAGAAGATATAACAAGGATGCTAGCTAGGTATTAATCATATTTGTAGTTCATAATTCAAAGATTTCTGCGTCAACAAAAACAGGTCTGTTGGGTTATCAGTTTTTGTTTCAGGGGAAAAAAATGTTTTGTACAGGGTTTTGTGCTCTGCTTGCTGTGTTAGGGAAAAGTGTGGAGTCATTTTGATGTTTACGGTTTGCGAGAACATGTGGCCATCCGCAAGACTTGAACTGTGTTTATTGCATCACTTGCAAGCCTAGCAGTGAAGTAATACTGATGAATTTAGGTACAAGTGCATTTTTATTCTTGAATGGGAATCCTCACTAGGCTCGTGGCTAAATCTTCGTACAGGAGAATTAGATTCAGCTGATTAACGTGACGTAATGTAACGTCATGTAGGCTACCAGGAATGGCGAATTTTGCCGACTTTCATTATGTCCATGATACATCACAAAGCTAAAAATTACACATTTTCATGATGGACCAGGTACATCATAAGGATACAAAGGGGTTAAGACTGAATGGGTACTGTTTGCAAGCAGTGTTATGACATAAGATCTAGAAATAATCCATAGTTAGTGTTACAGAATGATTGAGGAGCTTTGCTAATTTTTATTTCCAGGGCAATGGTATCACTTCAATGACAGCACTGTGACTGCATGTGAAGTGGAGACTGTGATGCGTTGCAAAGCTTACATCATGTTTTATGTGCGAAGAGAGATCCGGCTACCAGACAGTCTCTGCGTCCGTGCACAGAGCAGTCTCAATGGGCAGCAGAAGCAGCAGCAGCAGCAGCACGTCTCCGAACTCAGCTCTGGAGATATAGACAATCATAAAAAGAACAAAATTGTGTCCACCTCAAAGCAAAAGTGAGAGTTTCTGAACTTCTTCCCTTCTGTGGGCTGTGGAGTGATGATGACGATCAGTATGTTTTTGTGTTGTTGCTAGTGGTTATGTGTAAAAAACACTGTCCGCCATCCTTCATGTGAGCCAGACACAAAGTTGTCTTTCATACCATGTAATATTTTGTTGATTCAAGTGTTCTCTTTTTTTGTTGTTGTTGTTTTTGTTTCCGATGACCTTGCTGTTCTGCAAGAAGTTTCATCACCAAATGTGAATAAATGAGGGTATTTTGTACTTGACAGGACTTCTGTCAAGAACGAAATCAATGATGTGGAATGTGTATATATATATGTATGTATATGGCTTACCTGTTTGACTGAACATGTTACTACTGCGGCAGGTACCCATTTTTATGGCACAATAATCTTTATGGATTTGACAAAAAATTTTAAGGGAGGTTGTTTTTAGATGTGAGTTACTAGATTTAATTTTATCCTTTTTTAAAGATATATTTCCCTCAGCTCTATATTAATTCAGATGGGTGTTATCTTCCGGTATATGCTTGAATCCCATTCTAGTTTTTGCAGATCAGGGAAGATGTTTTGATTTTGGCATCCTTCGTGGGGAAAAACATCTATCGTCCTTATCTCCCCTTCTTCTTTTTTATGTTTGTTACTCTCTTGTAACACCTCTAATCATCTGGCGCTCATATGACCTTTTGCAGTTGCGAGCACCGTAAAACCTCTACTAAAACTAAAAAAGGGGAAATAGCTGATGTTTATCAAATTTGTTGTGGTCATGGATGACACAGAAGGCACACAATACTCCCGACCCCACAAGCATCATGTGCGAGAGACAGAACATTCTAGTCTTTTTTTTTCTGCAATGAGCTAGTTGGCTTTTCTTTCCATAATGAAGCATAGGAGACTAGGGTTCTGGCTGAGAGTTGAAAAGTTCAGTGCTGTTTTTCTTTTATTCTGTTTGTGTGGAACATTTTTAACTCTTGTCCATGTTTTTCTGGGGGAAAAAGTAGGCTTGTGGGAGAGGGTTGGTGATGTATTATACTTTTATTTTTCTAGTGCCCGATGGAGGTGCTTGCTCACCTATACCTCAGTTTGTGTCATGGTTGTCTATGGTGCAGGTGGCCTTGGGTCAAATCCCCAAGAGGATGTGAATAGATGAAAATGACTGCAAGCTGAAATTAGAAAGAGGAGGTTAGGCAAGGAAGATTCAAAGGGGAGTGGCTTTTTAGCTCTGGTTTTTTTAATTTCCACCGGAGGATTTCTCAATTTTGCGCAAATCTGTTGGTGGCACCCACAGTTCTATTCGAAAGAAAAACAGAATGGTTAATGCATAGATTTGCCATCGAGAGCTTTCATTTCTTCTTTCACTTTTGTGCTCTATGCGTAGGATGATGACAGTTGATTTTGTAATTGAATTATTAATCATTTATTGGAGGTGTCTTCGTGAAAAATTTAACAGTTTACTTTTTTTTAATTTATGGTCACAAAAAGAAGATCAGTGAAGTGGTAAGGATTTCACCATGAAAATATGACTATGCCTTGTGATTTCCATGTGTTTCTCAAACATGTATTCATCGTCAAAGCATTTGTTGTTGCTCTTGAAATTATGCTACTAAATTAAATTGAGGTGCATGGTAACAGTTCACCATGCCTTCTCTCTGCTCTATGCTGTTACTTCCCTGCAATAATGCGTATCGTCAGCAAGTTGTTCAAGTGAACAAAGCCGAGGAAGTAAAATTTTTTAGGACAAATGTTTTTAAAAAACTGGTTTCATCATTCGTTTAACAATTGTACCTACATTGTGCTGCTTTTCTTGCTTTTGCCCTTTTTTTCTTTTTTTTTGGGGGGGGGGTCGTCAAAATGAAATTTTTTAATTTCGACAATATTTCTTTAGCCAGTTCAACTAGATCTAATTCCACAGATTATTTTTATTAAATTGCAATAATTGATTTTTTTTCAAAATTTTGGGCATAGTGCATCTAAACAGCTGGATGATATTATGCTTTATGTCTTTATTCAAATGATAGTTCTTTATTTTATTTTTTTTATAAATACCTCAATCGTAATTGTTGCAATGTTTTAGAAGCAAAAGAATACAAAATGCATTTTCATATATATTTGAGTTGAAAGAACAAGTGTTTTTATTATAACATCATGGGTTTGGCTCAAATTGGAACTGTTTTGCTCTAACGAACAAATTGAGCAGCTAGTTTTTTTTTATAAACAGTAAATGTTGTACATCCCTCAACACAATTTAGATTACTTCAGAGATGGGCTGCTTTAACGCCTTAGTGGGCACCCTTCATTAGTCTATCACTCGCCCAGGACCAAGGCTGCCGCCTATTTTTAGAAAAATTATGCACCTTGTGCACTTACATTTGAATGACTCCAGCATGCTTATCACCACTATCTTCACTCCCAGAATCCATATAAGAAATTTGTGAAGTATTTTTTCACTTTAAAAAGGTTGGGTTGTTTGATGGGGGTTTGGGGTTATTAAATATAAATTTGGTCGGGGGAGGGGGGGTGTAACCATTTTTAAAGACAGATCTGGATCTGGTTTCGTTTCAATAAGAGAATAGAGTGTGAGGGTAAGCTTCTGCTTGACTTGGAAATAGAAAACATGAATAAGTATACATGTTGCTGGTCACTAAGGTGTTAACCCTGCCTATCGGGGCTGAGGTGGATAGCACATCGGGGCAGGAAGACAGAGATGAGATACTCAAATAGGGCATCTTTACCTCATGGGAATCAAAGTCAGTTTTTCACCGGCGAGCAGATGAGCCTGATTATTACTCCAGTGCATGTTTTCCGAAAACAGGTTTGAATGACGTCTCTTTGAGTGAGTAGTTCTGCAGTTTGGATTTGTTTTTGCATGTATGGAGAGGTTGTTAGGTCTATTACATAGGCGATTGTTTGTCTGACTGGCATTTGTACTTACAAACATTTTAGATGTATTTTTGTCTCAGTGATACAAGTACAGTATTGATACTGCCTCTCATAAGTTTGTTGCGTGTGCGTGTTTTTGTTTCTTTTGGCTGATATTGACACTAAGCGTTGCGTGAAAAGTGTATTTAGGATGGGCAATTATGAATTTTTTTTTTTTTTTCTAGTATCAAAAAATTCTTTGTAAAAGTTCTAATGTAAAACAGTTTGTGGGTTTCCTTGAGAAAGTCAAGCATGAAAAAGTAAATTATTACACCAGTTTAAATGTCAGTACAGATTCAGATACAGCTGTAGTTCTGCTTTTGTCTTTTGTTCTGAAACCTTTCATATACACTCAAGAATTAGTTCTTTTAGAATTTAAACTTTGTGATGTCTATTTTTTATTTGTTTCCCTGCTTAGCTTTGTTCTGTGTAACTGCCTCATGTAAACTGGCTGCCATATTTTACTTGTAACTTCTGTACATATGGCAGTCAATGATTGTAGATGACTGCCTGTTGCCACCCTGAAGTAGGTCTCAGTTGGCTCCCCCAGTAGTGTCGGAATGAAGGGAAGTTAGTGTGTCACAACAGTATATTTCTTTAGACTTTTATGCACATTGATAACTATCCTCAGAGTCGGAGCAAAAAGCAGAGAGATTTATGGCTAACCCATCAATGTCCTCAGCCTTTTCCTTTGAACCTTGAAGACAAGTGAAAGGGATCTTGCAGCTCATTATTGTTCAGCTGTGCTTTGTAAAGGACCAGACCAGTATTAGAATAATGCTTGATGAAATGTCTGGGAATGATTCAAAATGAGCGGTTAGATTGTTTTTTGTCTTTAATTCAGGAATGAAAGGTTGGTATGCATGTTTAAAGTGGGATGGGTGTGTTATGCTTTATTGAACTTTATGTCTTTTTTTCTTTGTTTGGTGTTTTCTCATTTGTTTTGTCATATTTTAATTTCGGTTAGCTCCATAACTAATGTGACTAATTTGTTATTACCTCTACAATATTATTTCAACTGTGTTTCATTCCAACACTTTAGCATTCCTGCAGCGCAATGAAGAAAGTGCTGGATAATATCAGTGTCAAAATTCTTTTTTTTAAATCTTTATTTCCTTGCTCCTCCCCTCGGCTTCCTATGCTGTAATATACCATATCATTTATATTGTCATTGTAATGGGGAGGGGGAGATAGAATTTCAGCCGTTGCCTACTACATTAAAAAAAAAATAAATGAAGGTAGGATTGGCGAAAGGTATTAATGATATGACTTTTCCTGTAAAAAAAAAATTAAACAAGGCATATATAAATTAATGAAGGATTATTGTCTGGAGGGAAAGCACTCCCTCCTCATGTAATTTTTTACATAATTTAACTTTAATTTTCTTATTTTATAGAGGAAAGAAATTGAAGATTGTTTTCTCAAGAAAATTTTATTAAGTTTCTGTTTTAGTTCCCCTTGTTTTCTGTTGTTATTTTTCGTTATTGCTAGGGTGATAACGCTGGTGTAATATTGTTTCAATGTAAGTGCATGCAGTATGTATGATCTTTTGCACCAATGTGTTCAGGGCTTTTTTGTAAGTTCCATGTATTGTTATTGCTTATCATGAAATTGACAGTGGTTATTTGGTTGTTTTTGTTGTTTCTGGGTTTATTAGTTGTATGTGCTTAACATGATGAGAATAGCAAATAAATTTTTTTTTTAAATCTCGTGTCATTTGGTCTTGTAATCTTTTCCTCTGTAGATTTCAAAATCATCACTGAACTTTAGGCCTTTCTGGGTACACTTCAGAATTCCTTTTAGTGTTACTTATTTCAGATTGAAAGCGTTATTCCTGGGGTTTTCGTGGTCTAGAGGTACGGTGTTTGCCTCTCATTCAAGAGGTCACAGGTTCAATACCTTTCAACAACAACAAAATTGTCTTCACTGTAATTTCCTCCATTCACCCCCTTTCCTGTTTTCTTGCCCTGTTCTGTCATCTGCCTTCATTATACACTTTCTCTTCTTTCAGCCCCGCCTCCTCTAGTCTTCTCTCTTCTTTATTCCTAAGCTTAATTAAAAATAATAGCATTTCTATAGTAAGGAAGAAATCAACGACAACCTCTAGAGAATGCCAAGCTCGCAGAGACGTGTGTGGGGAAAAGACCCTGAAGCAGCCGCCTATGAGTGTCGTGCACGTTGTGTAGTGTACCCCTGGCTGCCAGTTCGTTGGCGGTAGGTCAGGGCAAATTTACATTAGTTTGAAAAGGACCGCACAATTCAGACAGTTGGTATAAAGACGCAAGTTTATATGGGCGTCTCTTTTCGTACATTGGCAAAACCTGGGCGTTAAAAGCAAGGCTGGCAGTACAGCGAGGTTTAGCTGCGCCCTCGAAATCGGAATGTGGCTGCCTGAAGGCAAGGGGCCTTGCGGAGTCGGGGGAAAAAAACGGTCACGAGTCACATGCATAAAAATAATGTGCACTGCAGATTTTTAACCAGCAGTCGACTTTTTCTCTCCTGAGTTCTTACTCGAATTTGAATTTTGCCAGTATTTTCGAGGTACTTTTACAGTAAAACACAGTGTAGCGGCACGTATGTGACATAGGCCTACATGTATTTGTGTTCCAAGTGCAGTAAAACTCTTTTGGACCCGAAACCCGGTGTAGTGACTAAGTTAAAACGAATTATAAGGAAAGCTGTCTCAATGGAGACTAAACGTCAGACAGTTTGAGAATTTCTGCATCATCTCAGATGCCTAGATCTACAGTTATTATTTATAGCCTCAGTCGGACTGGTTCACCTGTTACCTACACAGAAGACATCATGATGTGGATTCTTTTCTTGATCGCAGCCTGAGAGCGTGGCCTACGTTATTGTTATCACGAACGCCACGCTGAGAGTGAGAGTAGGAGTGGGAAACCGGTCATTTCATCACACGGTCATCTCGTCACAGCCCAATTATGTGTTGTGAAATGACTTCGCAAACCTCTCCAAAATTGTTATGCAAGTAGAGTTTTGGTGGATCAGCACCAGCAGTCTTTATTCTAAATCACTATTTCAAACACGTAATCGTTTAGCCGTGCCCTTTTGTTTTTATGCAATTTAAGCCGAAAAATACCCCCAACCCTCCACCAATAAAAACAACTCGACAAAAACCGCCCAGTTGTGAACGGTGTAATTGATACACATGGATAAGGTAGGCACGACGACTCGCAGTGTCCTATTCCGAACTGTCATCAGTGTGTGTGTGTGTGTATGTGTGAGTACTGTGAGGTTGGCGCACCAAAAAAAGTGTAACAAAGACATTCTGAAAATGTCTCTGAAGGACTTCAACATACACACACACACAC